TCTTTGAGACATTTATTTTGAGTTCTTAGAAAAAAAAGTCTGAATTCTGAGAAAACATTTCTGAATTTTGAGAAATGTCAGAACTTTATTTCTGACTTTTCTCTCAAAAAATCACTTTCACATGTGGCCCTAATCATCTTCCCTGAAATCCCACACGGTTTTCACTATAAAGGTTTTACTGTAGCATTTATTTCATATTTATGATTTCTGGCAACGCTCTAAAGTTATAAGTAGGTTGTTTATTATTACTATTTGGGGATGGAGTGGCGCAGTGGGCTGTGCGTTGATCATCAGATCAGGGGTGGCGTTGGGGAACTCCAGTTCGAAACCCGCCACTGCGTCAGGCCGTTGTGTCCTTGAGCAAGACACTTCATCCGAATTTGTTCCTGTGGGTACTGTCCACAGTACATGACCGTTACATGTATGATATGTGTGTAATGTGTACTTGTAAAGCGCCTTGATGACTTCGAGGTGTGAAGATGGGCGGAGTGGCGCAGTGGGCTGTGCGTTGATCATCAGCGTTGGGGAACATCAGTTCGAAACCCGCCGCTGCGTCTGTAAAGACGTTGTGTCCTTGGGCAAGACACTTTACCTGAATTTGCTCCTGTGGGTACTGTCCACAGTACATGACCGTTACATGTATGATATGTGTGTAATAAATGTAAGGAATTATTATTATTATTATTAGGATTCAGAAAGGTTTTAAAGGCTTTATTGTTTAATGCACATGAGATTTTCTTCGGAAACAACTATGCTATAGCTAAACTATATTAACATAAAGATAAAAATACATAAAGTGGAATCCAATAATGCCTGTGAAAAAAAAAGAGATAATGGTGCAAGTAAGTTTCAGCAATAAAAACAAATATATACATATAAGATATGAGGGCTTCACTAACAATCATTTTTTATTATCGATTAATCTGTCGATTTTTTTGCCAGATTAATCATCCAAGATCTTTGTGTGAAGCTGACCGTTGAGCGGCCCGACCAAGTAAGGAGGCAGAGGCAGAAATCCCAAATATAACCCGGTGTGGGCCTTTATTAAAAATCATGAACACATGACACACAGCCTCAATCTGCTGTTTCTCCCTGCACACAGCCTGCAGCCACAAAGATCTCACACCCCTCTAACCCAACAAGAAAACAGCACCTAAATACACACAGAGGGTGTTTCTCAATCGCGAGTAAAGCTGCTTCAGAGCCACTATTTCAAGCATACTACGTCATCGAGTGCCGCCGAAGTACTGTTCCAATCTCCAGTATACTTGGAAATCTACCGAGCCCGGCGTACTCCGTTTGGAGAAATATCGAGTGTGCACATGAGTAGACTTCGCGGTCTTAAAATCCCCACAATGCTTTGCGCACGGACCAATTTCCCCAAATCTGTGGCGGAAGATGTAAGGCGGGGCCTCTCATATGACGCACACCTGCACACTTGCTAGCGTGTTCCACACTTCGTTTTCCGAATGCCAGGAAGTATTCTTGACTCGCTTCTGAAGCAAGATGCTCGGCAGACATGTGCTACCAAGCAAGCGTACTCGCGATTGAGAAACACCCACAAACTAACAAGACACAGGTGAGGGTGGAGCAATTAGACACAGGTGAGGGGGGAGGAGCCATCACAGGGCACCAGTTGAACACAATCCCCAACAATTAAGCTATCCAACCCGTAACGGAGGCCGAGATCTATGGGCCCAGAGATCACCTCCGTGACACTTTGTGTCGTTCTTTGTCGATCTACAACATACTTTATATTCACTTAAATATGATGCAAAGGAAAAGAGGAAATCTCATTTGAGAGGCTGAAATGTGCCTTTTCTTTCAAATGACTTTTTAATTGATTAGCAGTCGCTTCTTTTTCTGTCAATTGACTTATTGATTGGTTGACCTATTGTTGCAGCTGTCTATTGTTTTTTGCTCAAATTGTACTTTTCTAATCTGACTTCCTTTTTTTACATTACAACTAAATAATCGACAGACACCAAATCAATTACTGCGTTCAATCAGCTCCAGAAATCATGAATATAAAAAGTGTTTCAGGTTCATAGAAACATGTCACTCGACGACAAATGATAACAAGAGAACAAGGAAGCAGAACAAATAAATCTCTGCTGAGGAAAAAACTCAATGCCACCGTCATAATAAGCTTTTTGCTTTTGTTATTGGATATCATGCCAGACTGAGACAGAGAAAGACTAATGTAGTGTTTGTTCAGTGAAGGAGGCTCTCAGCACTCATTAATGTGCTCTATTGATTATCACTCTTTGTGTTTTGTCTGAGATAATTTGTCCTTTTCAAGCACCTTTTACATTAATACTTTTATATTCTACTGAAACCAAGTCCATTTATATTTCCTCACCATAAAAGCTGCTTCTAAGAGCTCATAAAGCCACCGGGGTTACCAGCCACATTCATTCAAGCAGAGAACACTTTTATGTACTTCAACATCTTGTTTATACACCGACAATTTGCAGTTATCTAGTCAGGCTGACATCAACCCTCTTACTACACAACACCAACATATACAGATAAATAGAAAATAAGAAATAAAATGCCCTAGAATAAAGTGATTTGAGAGGCAAGCTGATGTTTCTGAAGAACACAGGATCATAAATTCAGCTTCCTGTTTTTATTGTGTTATCAGTAAATCGCATATTGGAGACTTGTGACGCATGTGAGCTGCTACAGATCAAATATACTGGCCTGTGGAGCAAATAAAATAAACAGATGCACCGGTGATTACAATCCTTTCAGAAATACACTGCAGTCACAGAGAGGACAGATGTTTTACACATTGGGAATAAAACCATAACTTGAGTTACACTGCTGACTTCCTTATTTAAAAGGTGTTTGAATCCAAATCACAGGAACAGCAGAGGATCTGCCGCATAGCTAAAAAAAAGAGGACCAAAATATATTTGGCAAAAACTTGAGTGTGATATCTCCTCAAACTTTGTTGTTAATTATTGGCAGAAAGTGACTGCCGGGTTTCTCACAATGATGTTTTGCCATTTTTAGTGAATCAAAAACATATTAAAAGTGCATGTTTTTGATTATTTGCTGTGTTTATATAAGGAGAAAGTAAAAGGGACTGCATCACTCACAGTACAGTCTGCATCAAGTTAAAGGGAGTTAGATATTGATCATCTGATCTCATATTTCACTTACAATTGGAGGGTTAGTTTAAAAAAAATTACAGTAACATTAACTAATTTCTTAGGAAAACCTTGGATTGCCAGACGTCTCCAACCCTTGGAATCTATCCAATGATGCTTTGACTTCAATGTTCATTCTCAAACAACCTATAGTATATGAATGTCTTATATCTTGTATTGAGTTGTGTTAAGTAAACATGTGTATACGGGTCTCCCTGAGGTGTCCTCTCATGAAGACTTCACTTCACACCATTGTGTACTTTAACTGCTGGCTTTCCAAGAACTGCAAAAACATAGAGACACCAGAACTGAATGACCCAGCTGAAGAGAGCAAAGGAGAACGATTGAATAACCTAAATAAACAAAGTAAGAGACATAATGTCGACGATTCAATAAGTGAATGATGTGCTAACATAAAGAGGTTGTATTGGATGCCTTTCATGCAAGTAAACTCCTGAAATCATACTTTCCTGACTCCAGTCTTTTTCCTGGAGATGTCCAGAAATGATAAAATACACAACAATGTACACACAGACTGTGTGAAATCCCAAGCCAAAACAATGACATTTCGTCACATTGCAGATGCTCCCTGCTAAAGTTCAGTTAGCAGGATTCACACTCTCCTCAGGGTTTCTGCCACTTCTAAACGTAAATATGCATCAGATGACTCTTGGACTAAGATTTCCAGGAAAAAGCAGGAGAAGTTGAGAATGTTGTTCCCATTTACTCCCCATGCCATGGTTTTTTATCTTTGAGCTGTCAGCTCTCGCTAAAAATTACAAAAGGTGACATCCTCTTCTCGGCTCAGATCACTTTGCTCTAGAGACCAACTGCTGAGCTGACAAAACTTTCCTTCACTTCAACACTTCTCTGCTCGCTCTCCCGCCCACACACACACACACACACACACACACACACACACACACACACACACACACACACACACACACACACACACACACACACACACACACACACACACACACACACACACACACACACACACACCACACACACACACACACACACACACACACACACACACACACACACACACACACACACACACACACACACACACACACACACACACACACACACACACACACACACACACACACACACACACACACACACACACACACACACACACACACACACACACACACACACACACACACACACACACACACACACACACACACCACACACACACACCACACAACACACACCACACACACACACACACACCACACACCACACACCACACACACACACACACACACACACACACACACACACACACACACGGAATTTGTCTCAGGAGCACAGCAACAGTGAAGCTCAACTCCCTAGACAGTTGTGAAATATGAACGTGAAAGCATCCGACCTGTTTCATTCAAATAAAGACGAGGCGGCTCGTCCACAACACATTCCAGCGGGAGAGTTTTCAGCCAATAAACAAAGATTTGTAATGATTCAAACATTAACATGTCCATCCCTAGACACAAGGAGCTGTAATGATGTGCAACAAACACTGCATTTGAAATAACCGACAGCAAAACGGAGGTGATACTGAGATAACTGTCACAGCGATAATATCTGATAACAAGCAGGTTGTCTGCAGACACCAAATGCACTGAATACATGTCAACAACCAAAAGGACTTCTGGAGTTAAGGAGTAAGAACTTCCAAAACTAGCAGGAGAATAGAAATGGCTATTTTGAGACACAAATAAATCCTCTTAATTTATTCAACTTCAAAGCACTGCTGTCGTTTCCAAAGACAATAAAAGCAAACCCAGCGAAAACAAGGGAAAGAGATTAAAAAGCGTGACTTACTTTGAGTATTCTTCATTATCTCTGTTGCAGCGAGAGTCCTTGTGTTTCTCCCAGTCCTTGCCATGTTTGCATGTGGTCAGCAGAATGATATCTTCCCCGTTGTGGATGTGATACAGAGCGTTCCTCGTCTCAGAACCGATGCCAGTCAGGTATCGCTTCCCTTTGAAAACCAGCAGGTACTTCCTGGAAGGCGGTGCATCGTTGAGCGTCAGATAACCCATGCCCCCTCCTTTTAGCGGGTGCTCCTTGGAGAATAGAGGGATGGAGATATCAAAGTTGGGTCTGAAGTTGACCACATCTGCGCTGGCTTTGGCCAACATGGCCTGGCCCACCTCGAAGCCCAGGTCCTCTGTGTAGTCCGGCCAGGTGCCAGAGTACAGGTTGAATATGATGTGGTTCCTGCCATCGTTCCACGTGGGCAGGCTCTGGATTCGGAGCCTGGCGTTCTGGACAAACTGAGCCGAGAGCTGGTCCCTGTCCAACGTGTCCACGGCCAGGATGAAGAGACAGGCCCTCGAGGGGTCTGTGGTGTGGAAGCGAGACTCCTCGATGGACGACAGGATCTTCTGGTAGGTCTCGGAGATCTCGTCCCCTCTCTGTGGAGGGTAGATGTAAACCCTGAAGCCCGTCTGGCAGCGAGCGAAGTCGAAGCAGGTTTCCATGCGGCAGCGCTTGTTCCTGTAGATGTTGTCTCGGATCGCTCGGCGTTCACGAGGCGACGTGTGCTGGTGTTGGACCTGAGGGCTGTCCTCCTGCAGACACACAGTTTATATTGAAAAAAACATGTCTATTTCATCAATCCATCAACACTGCATGATCAATTCTCAGCGAACAAATGAGAAGAAAATAAAGCTCTCCTTTAAAATGCCATAAACTCTGTTATCATATTCCAGTTTTGCCTTCATTTTAAAAAGATACAGTAGACGGTTACATTTTAAGCCTTTACATGGTTAATACAAATGTATTTTCCAGTAATATTACTCTTTAAATCTGACTCTGAATAGTCATGAAGCGCCCGCCTGATATTTGCCCTTCACATAACTTAAACGTGCTGTACCTTATTGGAGCATTTTACATGCACCCCCTTTGACAGCATTTTGCACGTTTGGCAAATCTGTGGCCTCCCAGTTATTCTTTTTATGGTAATAAACAAGATCAAACTGGCTCAATACAAGACACAGAGCTGACCGTTAACAGTCAAGAGGCCATGAGTCACAAATTGAATAATATCTGCATTTCCCACACGTCATAATCGGATATCGCCATTTTGTGAATAAGGCCTAATTCAGAATATCCGTTAAATTACATGACCAGTATCAAATCCAGAAGATTGTCATATTAGGTTGACTATTTATGCATTCACAAATGTTTGCCCGATAGGACTCACTTGACCATAATGCAGCACTTACAACCAGGAAAAGACAACACTTATGGATTTAGGATATCAAAATCTTAGACAATTTCAAATATGTCAATATATCAATATCCCAGTCCGATAGCCATGTGTACCTCCTGCTCTCCTCCCTCCAGGTACGGCTCCAGCAGCTGGGTGGACTCTGGCCAGTGCCTTGGGGGTCTGGAGGGGCTCCTCTGGGGCAGGGGCTGGTACACCTCCTGGCTCTGGTGGTAGTACTGGTAATCCGGCTGGTGGTACTGGGGGTACTGGGGAAACTGGTGATATTGGTACGGCTGCTGCTGGAACTCCCCGATTTGCAGACCCCACAGGTAGACGAGGAAGAGAAGACCGGCCCCCACAGACACAAGCAGGTACCGCTTCTTGGCCTGCATGTGTGCTGTGGGGGGGGGGGGAAGAGGAGGAGGTGGAGGGATAGAGACAGGAAGAGAGGAGGAGGAAGAGTAAGGGGAGGATAAAGAGGAGGACGAGGAACTAGGTAATGATGAGGAGAGGAGGAGCAGGGAGGTAGACACAGGTCCGCTCGACCCACAGACAGGCTCTCTATCCACAGCTCGGCATGTTGGGATTTGGAGTCACTAAAAGAGAAAAATAAATATTAATTAATTACCTTACAAGTTACTAATAAAGTCTCCAAGAAATGCGGTTACTAAACAAAGTCAAACTTGTTGGCAACTTTTTCAAGAGAAGGCTAGACAAATATCAGTGTAAAGATTTAATAATATGCTGATCATGTGGAGTCCAATGAAGATCAAAATAAATCTAAGAAATAAAATAAAAAGAAGCCATGTGCAGTTATAGGTGTCAGGTGCAATAGTTTGAAAAAAAAACGCACACAAATAGTCCTTCAAATAGCATCAAATAAAGTCAAACACTGATGCATGCCACTGTAAGCAATATGTTGTAAATCAGAAGTCCTTCAAGAAAACCAGAATCTAAAACAAGTGCCATTCATAATGTTGCCAATTCAATGTCTTTGACTTTTTGTAGAGCTTTTTACCTAATTAGATATTACTAAAGCCATTTAGCAAACAGCATTTGTAATCCTTGTAACTACCTGTGCAGCAAACATTTTGAGCAGTAACCGGTGTGTCCGGGTTGTGCGATTAAATTGTGAATATATCCCAACATTCGCATCAGTGAAACTAGATTAAAATGCAACTGGGGCAAGCTTAATAGGTGGAGTTTTAATGAAGAAAGACGAGGATGTGTGATGGTAAACTCAGCACTAAACTGCAGGATTTCTCAATGAGGAATGAGGATACATGAGGAAACACGTGGAATATCTGTACCGTTTAGTAAGCGATCTCCATAAGTAATGTTTGGATTATAGTAATGATTTGTTTCCTTTGTTTTCGGTCGCCTGAGTCCACAATGTAAAAGCTACAACACTCGGTGCACTGCCCTACCTGTTTACAGGAAACACCTGTGGTCCCGGGAACAGATCCGGACCTCCGCGGCTCCCCTCCAGCCGGAGCACCGCTCCTCAGCTCGGATACACATTCTCCAGCTCTACGGCCCAAAACACCCGATCACAAATCCATCCACGAATCTGAAATGATGTTAAAAGCAGGTTTTCCCAGCAGTCACTGAGCTCTGCGTCCGTTGGGAAGCCCAACACGGTGCGCTGGCTTCATCCTCCCCCGCGCCCCCAGTCTCAAACTTTGATTTTCACGTGCACGAGGCTCCGGCCGGGCGAGCACGCACCTTTTTATCCGCTTGGCAGGTATCCGAGGTGGGAACACACGATCATCTGCCAGAACAGCCGGGATAACACCGACAGCATCCATCCAGGATTAACTGCTGTGTTAACATGCATGGCAAATCATCAACTGCCATCACCCTTTAAAACAAAAAAAGGAAATCCCAGCAAGACAAGATCCAAACTTTTAAATGTTATTCCACCTGCTCGCCGGGTGAGAAATAAGCAATGATCAGCATCCCAGGTGAGGTAAGGGTATGCCGGCGCACCTGATCCGGAGAGACGCGCTTCGATAAAATCCCATTAGGTGCGTCTTCACGGTCTGACAACAGGCAGCGGGGTTTCCTCAATAGGGTGAGAGTGATAGAGAAAAAGAACAACCTGAGTGCTGGTGTTTCGGGGTTATTCCATCCTGACTGCTCGCCTCCAGCAGACCCGCTGTCCTCATGTATCCTTCCTCAAATCCTCAGATGGATGTGGACTGCGCCACCGTGCAGCAGCAGCAGATAAACCCGACACACTGAGGGGGGTTTGGAGCAGGCATGGCTCTGATGGTGAGGTGAAGGAGCTTGCAGTGATTCAGCATCTCTCAGTCTGCATTTCAAGCTTGGTTTTTAATCAGTTTAATAATGTAAAAGTCATCAGAAATGTATTTGGAAGCAGTAGATTCAACCAGGTCTTTCATATTGACTTTGCCATTCATCTTTACAAACCAAACTCCATTCAGAAATCTGCAAAGTAGGGGTTAGTATGCATTATCTGAGTTTAAATCAGTTGGAAAACATGACTTCCAACAGGCACATTTTAGGCATGTTGGTTGCATCTTTTGTGCAGCTTGTTCGAATAAGATATGAACTTACTGCCCCTGCACTAAGAAAATTAACACGTTGACTTTAATTAAATGTATTATGTCAACAGATTCCACATAATTGTATTAGGTTAGTTGAAAGCAATATATATTAGGTTTAATTTCATTTTATTGCTTTCAACTACAGTTATGTGTAACATGTTGAATACCTTAATTAAAGTAAATGTTTCAGATTTTCAGTGTAGGTTCGTCCCATCAGTAAACATAGTCGAGGTTGTATTTTCATGAAGTGCTGCCTGGTGCTCAATGGATGCAAATTCACTCTCAGCGTGTCTTGTTGGGTTTCTTATAATTAAGAAGATTTCTAATGCAGTTTGTTGTTTTCCCTACAATTTACACGAGTGAATTAGGCAACACTTTCGGGCTGTTGGAAAGTTTTGTAATCTGCATGCAATTTGTCTCGTTTGCTGCACTCTGCAGGCTCCCCTTGAGGTAATGATAATTTAGTTGCAAATGATGTTAAAAGGATTTGTCAAGGCCTGTCAAGGTTTAGTGAACGGACTCCTTGCCAACCTAAACCACTTTTAATTAAGCCCTAGCTCATTTCATCTCTTAATGATTCAGATATTCAGCCCAATGAATCAACTTTGACCACTTATCCTTCATCTCTCCTGCCCCTTAGTCATGTTGCTATTATTTGCACCGAAGCCATCGACTGAATACAATTAAATTGGTAATGATTTAAGTAGATGTCATTATCTCATCAATTAAGAGATGGTGTTCGCAGATGTTGTTGAGCCACACAGAGGCAGATCATGAAGCAAACAGTGCCATCGTGTGGTTCATGTTGCAGCCCACACTTCAATAGTTCCAGTTTACACACACACACACACACACACACACACACACACACACACACACACACACACACACACACACAAACTATAATCAGATCAGACAGGAGGAGATGCAAATCATAGAAGAAGAAATCAGAAAATTGAACATTAATATTATTCCACTGAGCCTGAGGGACTGTCTTGCTAATTTATGACATTTACACAAGGAGTGGAAAGCAAATAAGAACATTTACTCAAGTAGTGTACTTACTTACAATTTTGAGGTGGGCTATTACTTTTACTTTTTCCCAATGTAATGGCACTTTACATTTTTACTCCACTACAATTTAGAGGCACACTTTATACTTCTTCCTGCACTACAGTTGTGTTTTTTTTTACGGTTTGTACTTTAACATGAGCCATCAAGTTAAAATATTTACAGTTTGATAAATAAATACTGTACTTACATGTGAGTGTGTCAACATAGACTAGAAAAGTGCTATATATATAAATGAGTGCAATCCATTTACTATACAAAAAATACTAAAACATTGCGACATAATCTGAAACAGAATCTGTCAAAATCAAAAATCCTTTACTTGTCCCAAAGTGGAGAAATGTATAGTGTTAGAGCAAAGGAGCAGATAAAACGCAAAAAGGCAAGACAATCAAACATATTTAAGCATAAATGGACTTCCTGTACAAGTGTACAGTTCAAGGTAGTGTATACACCAAGTTATTAATGTGTCTCAGGCTTTTAAAATCTCTTAATGGAGCCGATGAAAGTGCATCTTCTCCAGCTTGTTGTTCTGTATTACATATCTGATCCATTGGTTTTGTCAGCTTTGTTTTCTTCTCATTTGAATTCATTCAGGGGTTTATAAATAACATTTACTCAACCTGTTTCCAGTCTCTTCCTGTTGTGTTCTCATTTTATTCTGGACGCTCCACTGTGATCTGGCTTTAAAATAATTGATATCATTATATATTACAGATTGTGTCGTATTGATTTTGCTGGATTGTTTTTCCTTTTTGTTCAACATCCTGTAAACCTATAGCTATAAAACTTGTGGCTGGCACAGTTTAATGTCTTCCTGTTGTTCAGGTGCCAAAAATGGACCGCTCACAGAAGGTGGGAGCGGTATAAATCCTGGATTTCAAACCACACTATCGAGGGGATTTCTCATCTTTAATCTCTGGCTGAACAATAGCAGAATACATCCTTTGACTTTACTTTGAATTGTAGGAATACACAGGCCAACAATTGTCTGAAACACTACCTCTGCACACCAGTTTTGTTTTCACTTACCTGAATGTGATAACTCTGAGGGATTGGCTGGTGTTGATGGCTTCATGGTCGATTAGGGGGAGATAAATCTGGAAAAGGACGCAGAGCAGCACAGAGAGAGAGGGAGCTAAACTTTGATCTGTTTCCAGTCTCAGTCCACCGCTTCACTTCCTCTTTTCCACCATCAATCTGGAAGCTTAAGGGATCATTTAGGTCAGGTGACTGTAAGTAAAGTCTTCTCTCCTGTACCAGCTTTTAGGATGCTGTGATGCAGCTTTAACATGGGATCTAACTAAGAAAATGTGCTCATGTATTTTACTTGGTGGTTTTTCTATTACTTAAGAAAAGGGTCTTGAAACTACTTCTATCACTGAATAAGATATACTGTATAAGAAAAGGTGAACAAGGTAAAACAAATCTAAGAAAATAGATATCACCATGACTCTTGCCGAGATAATTACTTACATGTAATGTGTTATTTTCTTTATTGTAAAGGTTTTCTGAAATGAGGCTTGTTCAATGATAATTATTGGTGAATGTAGTTGAGATATCCAGATGGAAAAAACACCTTAATATGTATTTTGGATGTTTTGTCTTTGCTAGTCTAAAAAATATTTTGGTTAATCAACATAATCCACATTTTGAATAAATTCGTCATCATTTTTTGAAAGGGGACATTTTAATTTAGTCTTTTTCAGACATCGCTACGATTGATATCTAAAACTCAACAACTCATGCCCAAACTAGATTGATCAGGCAAGAGGAAACACTTTTGTCTTTTTTTTTGGTGGGGGGGGGGGGGGGGGGGGGGGGGGGGGGAATAGTCCCTTTTGAGGGGATTTATTTCCTGAAACTAGAGAAGAGAAACTGATGTTATGTGTCCCCCTGCCATGACTACAACAAGAACTTTAAAAAAGTTATTTCAAGATGGTCAGCGACACGAGACGTGATTCCTACGTGAGAGAAATTGTTTAAACTCTAAATCTGTGTTCAGTATGCCATGTGGAGGAATCATCTAAATGCTAACAATGTTGACTCAGCCATATCATGGGATGGGGGCACGTGAACCCCCCCCTCCCCCCCACACCTTACACTGCATCACACACAAAATAATAAAAACATATCCATGGCTGTAATCTGCTTTGTGATTATTTGTTTCATCTAATGGATCAGGCTACCTAATGATGTAATACACACACACACACACACACACACACACACACACACACACGACACACAGACACAACACACACACACACAGACACACACACACACACACACACACACACACACACACACACACACACACACACACAGCCAGCTGGGCCACTAGCTGCTGTCCTGCTCTGTTCAGATGCTCCAGCTCAGCTCAGGATTTGAGGCTGCAGTGTAATTTCCCAACAATCCACATTTCCCGACCATCTGCTGCCGAACAAAACAGAAAAAGCGAGGCAGTAATTATTATCCATTTGAGAGTCATCACAAACCAACAGAGCAGCTAAAATGCCTCCTCCATCTACAGGAGTGCATGCACTGAAGTTTTTATAGGGGAAGCAAACAAATCATGTTTTAATGACAAACACACAGCAGCAGAGAATCATTCTTTGGTTTTTGATTGGGAGAATGGCACTTGAACCAAATGCAATATAACAACTTGAATTGGTCTGAACTGGTTTCATGCCTCTACTGTACATAACAAATCCAAAATATCATCACGTCATCATGTTATGTATTTAAGTTTCCAAGTAGCATATAAGGTGTTAAGCTGACATCTAACCAGACGTAACCAAAATAATTAACCAGAAGTCCAAATTCAGGATTCACAAATGCTCACCTTTTTTATACTTCAGAAAGCATCATAACAGAAAAGCCATCCTGAGAAAGAAAATGTCAGACATTCATAAAATAATACTTACCAATATCAGGATATATGTGCAATATTTCTGTTGTAGAAATGTATTGTATTTCTGTGTCCGTAATTCTTGCAGTTTTTGGCAATTTGGTGACCTTTCTTT